GCCCTAAACCCTAAACCCTAAACCCAAATGTCAAAGCAGACCCAGGTATTGCCTGGGAGGCGACGCCTCATTCAGCCGCTGCCCACGTGGAACATTCGCGAACGAGACAGGGATGTCGAACTGCATCTGAGAGCCAATATCGGGTTCAGGGTTTAGGGCTTAGGGTTTAGAATTTAGGGTTCAGGGGAACCCGATTCTTAGAGTCTGCAGGTTCAAAAGCGTAAACCCGGAATTCCCAAACTCCCCCCCCCCCTGGTGGTGAGTTCTCAAGATGTTTAGGGTTTAGGGTTTAGGGTTTAGTGTTTAGGGTTTAGGGTTTAGGGTTCCCCGTACCCCTGCTAACCCCAAACCCCCGAAGGACGCAAAGCACCCAAAGATCCTAAACCCTGAACCCTAGAAGCCCTGAACCACTGGACCTACTGGAATTACGTACCTACTATTCGCTTCAATAGGGGGTACTATAATCCCTATCCAGGACTGCTAGTATAAGAGGGAACATCCCAATATATTACCCTTACAAGGATTTATCATCATCAATATTATTTTTATTGTTATTATTATTATTATTAAATATTTTTTCTGGGGGCGGGAGCTTGAGCAATTAGCAGTACTTCCTTAGGAGAGATTTAGGGCTTCAGGCACCATACTCCCATTGAAGCAACATAGGGTGCCTAATCCCCGAATATTCTCGGACCAAAAAGCATGACTTAGGGTTCATTGTTTAGGGTTCAGGTTTTAGGGCAAACCCTAAACCCCAAACCCCAAACTCCTAAGCCCTAAACCCTAAACCCTAAACCCTAATCTCCTCAACCCTAAACCCTAAACCCTCAACCCTAAACCCTAAACCCTAAACCCTAAACCCTACCCCCCCCCCCCCCCCCCTGCAAGCCCTTTGTTACACAGGGTAGCAGCCCCAGGCAGCGCGTGCGCCGTCGGCCGCTTCGCCGCAAAGGTCGGCTCGGCTGAGTGCGACGAGTGCCTGCCAGGCACTGGGGTTTAGGGTTTAGGGTTTAGGGTTTCGGGTTTCGGGTTTCGGGTTTGGGGTTTGGGGTTTAGAGTTTGGTGTTTGGGGTTTGCGGTTTAGGGTTTAGGGTTTGGGGTTTAGGGTTTAGGGCCTAGGGCTTAGGGTTTAGGGTTCAGCATCTCAAGTTCGAGCATTTACTAGGCCAGCAGCGTGTGTAGGCAACGGAACAAAACCCACCCGCCCAAAGAATCCCATAACATTACGAAAATAGAAAGTTTATTAATGTCTTCTTCGTGCTAAACCATGGAGGGTTAGAGAGGTCAAAATTCCAGGAGACATAGAGTGGTCGAAATGAATCAAATTCTCCAATTCGTGCCGAACAACGGGGGGCTCAAAGGGGTCGGAGGGGTCGGAATGGATCAAATTCGAACAATGGGGGGCTCAAAGGGGTAAGAGGGCTCGAAATGGATCAAATTCTTGCCGAACAATGGGGGTCAAAGGGGTCGGAAGGGTCGAAATGGATCAAATTCTCCAATTCATGCCGAACAATGGGGTGTCAAAGGGTCGGAGGGGTCGAAATGGATCAAATTCTCCAATTTGTGCCAAACAATGGAGGGTCAAAGGGGTCAGAGGGCCAGCATTGAATTGAAGGGGTCAGAGAAATCTAGAAAATGAGGGGGTCATTTCTGCTATTCAAATTCCATTTAAAACTCATTGTGGATCAAATTCTCCAATTCGTGCCGAACAAAGGGGGGTCAAAGGGGTCGGAGGGGTCGAAATGGATCAAATTCTCCAATTCGTGCTGAACAATGGGGGGGTCAAAGGGAAGTTCGCCAATTCGTGGGGGGTCAAAGGGGTCGGAGGGGCCAAAATGGATCAAATTCTCCAATTCGTGCTGAACAATGGGGGGTAAACAAAAAGTGAAAAACAAGAAACTGATCAAATTCTACAATTAGTGTTTTTCAACATTTAGGGTTATATGGTAGAGAGGTTTAGGGTCTAGGGTTAGGGTTTAGGGCTCAGGGCTTAGAGCTTAGGACTTGCGGTTTCGAGTTTAGGCTTTGGGGTTTAGGGTTTGGGGTTTAGGGTTTCGGGTTTAGGGTCTCGGGTTTAGGGTTTGGGGCTCAGGATTTGGGGTTTCGAGTTTCGGCTTTGGGGTTCAGGGTTTAGGTTTTAGGGTTTGAAGTTTGGGGTTTGGGGTTTGGGGTTTAGGGTTTGAGGTTAGGGTTTAGGGTTTAGAGTTTGAGGTTTAGGGTTTTTGGGTTTCGGGTTTGGGGTTTGGGGTTTGGGGTTTAGGGTTTGGGGTTGATGGAAGCAATCAGAAATCATGGCTAAACACGGATGGCCAGTGGTTGATGAGAAGTCGACTCCAAAGGAGATTATGTGGACGCCCTGCGCAAAAAGGCAGGCTCTAGCGTGGGGTTTGCAGTCGCTGCCGGCACTTTCGGGCAGCTGGGCAAGCCCCAGGATTAAGCTGACCTTGAGCTGAAGGTTTAGGGTTTAGGGTTTAGGGTTTAGGATTTAGGGTTTAGGGTTTAGGGTTTAGGGTTAGTCGACCACTTGCTCGAGGGCATCATAGAACGTGATGAGCAGCTGCCGGGGGCTAGGATATTCCGGGCGTCACTGAAACTTGACGCTGACAAGCGTGACAAGGCAACCCTAAACCCTAATGCTGGGGTCCTGCGATTGTTGGGCAGTACCCTGATAACAGCCAGCATGGGTTTTGGTTTAGGGTTTGGGTTTTGGGGTTTGTGGTTTAGGGTTTGGGGTTTGGGGTATAACATGTGGAAAAAAGTACTTGCGACATCAATAATCACAGAGTTTATTCTATCAGTCAATCTTGAATCAAGGTTATTAAATACACTATATTCCAGAACATAGGTTTATCCGTATTCTGACGAAGAGTCAGAAAATAAGATATAAGATAATAGTCAGGAAATAGACTAACCCAGGCTTAGAGGTATGCTCCGCGCGCGCCACCACGCGGGAAGTGTGCGCGGTTTCGCGTCCTCTCCCAACCCGCCCACCCAACCTGTGACTTTGGTCGGGTTTAGAGAGTTTACATATTTGTTGGCGGCTGTGCTCTCATATCGTTGCTTGAATCCTATCCCACGCTATTCCTGGGATCGATGTTTATGCTTTGGGCTTTGGGGGGACTTTACAGCTGAGAACTGGTCTGCCGGCATAGCAGTAAAATCTCTCACCAGTGTCCCTGACCCTAAACCCTAAACCCTAAACCCTATTCCTAGGTTACTCGGAACTCTGGTCGTCGATGCCGGATGTCAGAGAACAATTTCGAAACGCAGGCACCTACGCAGATGTCACTGGCCTCGAGGTGTGCATCAAGTGCCCGAAGGGTGCCTGGGCGCGGTTTAGGGTTTAGGGTTTAGGGTTCCGGGTTTAGGCCTCATGGACACATGTGGGTTTTAGGCTTGGGGTATAGGCGGTGGAATACCTAAACCCTCAACCCTAAGCCCTAAACCCTAAACCCTCATTCCAAAAACCCGAAGCCCTAAACTGAATATGGGACCTTGAAACCCAGCAGCACAGCCTCCTCGCAACCCTGAGCTTAGCAAACATCTTTCTGAGGAGGTTTAGAGTTTAGGGTTTAGGGTTTAGGGCTTAGGGTTTAGGGTTTAGGGTTTAAAGTCGTGGTGGTGCCTATAAGAGTAGCCAGCCCCCCCAGAAAGGGTACCCTGATCATAAGATGGTTGCTGGGCTATCAAGTCAGGGTTATACCTTATTGGGGTCCTCATCAGCAGGGGATCCTACTGTTTAAGGGTCGATAGTTGGCATCCCCCTAATTTCGCAAACTCCCAAATCTGTAGGGCTGCTGTGGGCTTAGGGCGCCAATATGTAACGTCTTGTTTTGGGTTGCGTGGTTTTTTTTCCGGAGATAACCTGCAGCAAGCCTGGTCGCCCGAACAGATTGGGTCTTCCCAACCCCGAGACTGACCCCCAAAGCCTCAATCAACCCACTAACGCCCTCAACCCCAGCCCCTAACCCTAAACCCTAAACCCCTAAACCCCTAAACCCCTAAACACCTAAACCCCTAAACCCCTAAACCCCTAAACCCCTAAACCCCTAAACCCCTAAACCCCTAAACCCCTAAACCCCTAAACACCTAAACCCCTAAACCCCTAAACCCCTAAACCCCTAAACCCCTAAACCCCTAAACCCCTAAACCCCTAAACCCCTAAACCCCTAAACCCCTAAACCTAACTTGAAAACTCGAAACCCCAACCCCCAAGCAAACCTGAAGCCTGAAAGCTTCAATCACCGAACCCTAAACATCAGCCCTGAAGCCGAAAGCCGCAACCATAAGCTTCAATCCCCAAACCTCAAACCCTAAAGAATCAGCTCTAAACCTCAAGCCTTAAAGCCCTGGAGCCCTAAACCCTAAACCCCAAGCCCTAAACCCTCAAACCCAAAGCGCTAAACCCTAAACCCTAAACCCTAAACCCTAAACCCTAAACCCTAAACCCTAAACCCCACTTTGAGGAACCTACGCGCCGCTGTCGGAGGCTACGGCGTGCATCGGACGCTGGGCATCCCCAGTCACTACTGGGGTGTCAAAATTCTGGTCCCTTTTGGCTCCCTATTATAATGCGGCCCTAAACCCTACACCCTAAACCCTAAACCCTAAACCCTAAACCCTAAACCCTAAACCCTAAACCCTAAACTAGGGTACCCCAAAAGGGATCATAATTTTGGCAACCACCCACTTCGAAAAGGAGCGTGGTGTTGTCTTGTCTTGTGCTGCCAGGGGCTAAATCACATTGTTCTCAATATTCAGCCCTTTACCTAGGGTGTAGGGCTTTGGGTTCAGAATTTCCCCATCTGTACTATGAGTTCGCTGTAGTTGATCTTCAATACTCGGGGTGGAGAGGGGGAGGGGGGCGGGGAGGTGGCAGCTCGGATGTTCAGTACTTGGAGGTTCATGATACTTATTAACCACTTCTAGTGCTTATAGCCCACGCATAAGCCCCTGAATTGCCCTGACAGGCTTTAAGTACAGTTCTAGGTACAGTTCGAATTGGTGAATAAGTACCATGAATTTTCAAGTAGTAACCTCTTATTTCCTTTTCTTGCGGCCAAGATCCCTTATACAATGCAAGAAACAAAGTGCCACCCTCAGCCCTAAACCCTAAACCCGCAAGCATGTAGTCATGGAACTGTTCGACAACTCTCCTCTTCTACAGGAGCGGACTGCAATTCATCCCTAAACCCTAAACCCTAAACCCGAAACCCGAAACCCGAAACCCGAAACCCGAAACCCGAAACCCGAAACCCTATCCTTGGGCCACAGCAAAGGATGTCAGAAGAACCGAGTCACAGAGGAGCGTGGCAGCGAGTTCGAGTCAGACTGCAAGTGTGCAGAAGGCGGGGATTTGGGGGGTTTTGTAGGGTTCAGGGTTTAGGGTTTATGGGGGTTTAGGGTTTAGGGCTAGGGTTTAGGGTTTAGGGTTTAGGGTGTAGTGCTTTAGGGGGATTCGGGATGGGGGGGGTGTATAGGATTTGGGACTTGTGGTGCGGGGTCTAGGGCTTTGGGCTTGGGGGTCTACAGTTTGGGGCGGTTTAGAGCTCAAACTCCAGGCGCTAAAAGCGCCTGGCGCTCAGATGTTCGAGAAGTTTCGGGCTCAGGGTAGCTTAGTTAAGCAATGTTTATTGGATGCGGGGTTTAGAGGTGGGCGCCACCCCCAGAACTTGGTGTCCAGATTGCACTTGAAATTCGGAGCACATACTTGGGAGGTTCATGGGTACTTAGAATCCAGTTATGAGTCGATTGAGAACCTACTTAGAGCACTTAGTGGACTTAGGGGTCTTATAAGTACCGTTAGAAGTACCCTCAACCTCCAAGTACCCTATGCGCACAATCCCCAAGTTCTAAACCGCAAGCCCTAAACCCTAAGCCCTAAACCCTAAACCCTAAACCCGACAAAGTGAAGTGAGGGCATGTCCCAGCACCGGGATACCCTAAACCCTAACCCCTATACAGCCTAAACCCTAAACCCCTAAACCCTAAACCCGAAACCCCTAAACCCTAAGCCCGAAACCCTAAACCCTAAACCAATGCAGTCCTAAACCCTCTTGTACACCTTGAGTCAGGGTTTAGGGGTTAGGGTCTAGAGCTTGTAGGGTTTAGGGTTTAGGGTTTAGGGTTTAGGGTTTACGGTTTAGGGTTTAGGGTTTAGGGTTTAGGGTTTAGGGTTTAGGGTTTAGGGTTTAGGGCTAGGGTTTAGGGCTTGGGACGTGTAGCATGAAAGAGCTCCAAGGCTTGGTCGGTTAAGGATGTCCCGGCAGACAGGCACCTTCATGTGCAACGCCACTGGGAGCCCCCGCTGCACCTTACTGGGTTTAGGGTTTAGGGTTTAGGGTTTAGGGTTTAGGGTTTTGGGTTTTGGGTTTTGGGTTTTGGGTTTTGGGTTTTGGGTTTTAGGGTTTTAGGGTTTAGGTTCTTAGTGGTCCAAGGGTCTTGGTTTTTCAGCGGTACCCTTTACAATACGTTTTGTTTCTGGTTTCCCTTATCAAGCAACCAACCAATAAAAGGGCACCCTTGCTCTTGGTACTTAGCCCAATGGTACCCTTGTCGTGTTTTTGGGTTCAAGCTTTCCTGCATCTACTGCCCTCAACATAAGTTCTAAAGCCCTAAGCCCAATTCCGGAAAAGCCTATACCCCAGACCCAGACAACCCCCCCTAACCCCTAAACCCTAAACCCTAAATCCTAAACCCAGACAAGCCCTCAACCCTAAGCCAAGGAAACCTTTCTCTCCTAAGCCCGAAACATCGCCCACACACAGCGTGCCCTTCTACTGCAAAGCCTAATCCCTAAACCCGAAACCCTATACCCTAAACCCTAAACCCTAAACGCTCGCATGGCCCAACACCCAGGTGCTTGCCTTGTCCGGAGGGCCTCTTCTGTGCCATGGGGATCGGTCTGCCCACTCAGCGGGAAGGACTCGAGTTGCGTGAGGCGTAGGGCATGGGCTCTACAGGTGTTTTAGGGCTCAGGGTTTATGGGGTTGAGGGTCTGAATAGGGTTTCAGGGTTTTAGGATTTCGGGTCTTAGGGTTTAGGGTTTTAGGGTTTTTGGGTTTAGGGATGTTTAGGGTTTAGACTTGAGAAATTCGGGGCCTTCATGACTACCGAAAGCATCCCCCATGAATAATCCCTATATAGGTATACTGTCCACCACCCGCCCCTAGCTTGTGGAAGCGTTTGAAGGATTTTGGGTTCAAATTTACGCCACGGGTTGAAACATGCTTAAGGTTTAAGGGTGAGGGTTTAAAGTTTAGACCCTACAAACCTTAAACCCCGAAACCCCTAAACTCAACCCTAAACGGGCTTGCGACGGGCTTTGCTTGTAGGAGCTCACCTGCAATGACCAAGCTTGTACCCGACGCCTAGACCGTAAATCCAAGACACTAAACCATAAACCCCAAGCCTCTGCAATCTTTAGTCGCAAAACGCCGATTCTAATCTAGAGCAAACCCCCCTGACCGCAGGTTAGGGTTTAGGGTTTGGGGTTTATAAGTTTATAAGGGTTTGGGATGCCGAACCCCCTACACTCCCATTGCCAGGATACTGGACCCCCAGCGCCTCACCGAATCAATGCGACTTCTCCGTGCTACGCTGCCGGGGCGTGGGCCAGTGTCCCGCCATGGCACCCTCGCAGCATGTTCTATATCGGCCCTTACTAAACCCCAAACCACTAAACCCTAAACCCTCAACCCTGAACCCCAAAACCCAAAACCAACCCTAAAGAGAATGCCCTTGAAGTCCCCACAAGGGGCCACCCAAGCTCTCTCACCCTGGCACCTTCGGGTTTAGGGTTTAGGGTTTAGGGTTTAGGGTTTAGGGTTCAGGGTTTAGGGTTTAGGGTTTAGGGTTCAGGGTTTAGGGTTGAGGGTTGAGGGTTGAGGGTTTAGTGAAGGCAGTTCATCTTATGGACTTCTAGCGCCTCACTTTTGCGACCTCAACCGTAAACCCAAAACCCAAAACCCCAAAACCGAAACCCTAAACCCTTAACCCTCAACCCTTAACCCTTAACCCTAAACCCCAAACCCTAAACCCTAAACCCTAAACCCGGATTTTGGGGTCGAAGCACGTTTGAAATCCGAGGAACTGGGCGGCTGTGCGAGCGGGCGTGAGGGGATGGCGTGCGACTCGCCCTATGGGTTCAGGGCTTCTGGGTGTTTAGGGTTTAGGGTTTAGGGTTTAGGGTTTAGGGTTTAGGGTTTAGGGTTTAGGGTTTAGGGTTTAGGGTTTAGGGTTTAGGGTCAGGGGATGTTTAGGGCGTAGGACGGTGGAGGATGTATAGAGCCTAGGGTTTGCCAGGGTGTACGGGGTTAACAGCTGTTTTTCAAAGTTTGGAGGGCGGCCAGCTTCAGGTCGGTTTAGGGTTTAGGGTTTAGGGTTTAGGGCTTAGGGTTTAGGGTTTAGGGTTTAGGGTTTAGGGTGTAGGGTTTAGGGTTTAGGGTTTAGGGTTTAGGGTTTAGGGTTTAGGGTTTAGGGTTTAGGGTTTAGGGTGCAGGGTGTAGGGTTTAGGGTTTAGGGTTTAGGGTTCAGGGTTCGGGTTTGTAGGGGTTTGGGGCTTACAGGGTTTGTAGGGTTTAGGGTTTAAATAGGGCTTCGGGCTTAGAGTTCGGGTCTATAGGAGTAGTGTTGAGAGGGTTTTGAGCTTAGTTCGCACAGTTGAGGACTGCTAGTATATCCCCTTCGGGGTGCTCGTGCACAAAGGAGAACGCTCCCAACTCTAGGCTTTTCGATGTTTGGGGCTGGTGTTGTTTGGGCGGTTAAACCCCAAACCCTAAACCCCAAATCCCAAACCCTAACCCACAGCTCTAATCCTTGTGGCCCCAAGCCCAAAAACCCCAAGCCCAAAAACCACAAGCCCCAAAACCCCACATTCCAAAACGCCAACCCTAAACCATAAGCCCTAAGCCCTAAACCCTAAACCCTAAACCCTAAACGTCGTTTAGGGTTATAGGGTTTTGGTGTTTGGGGGTTGGAGGTTTTGGGCTTGGATGGAGGGGGACAAGTCAGCCCTGCAATCTGAAACTAGGGTCTGGGGTTTAGGGTGAAGGGTTTGGGGTTTGGGGTTTAGGGTTTAGGGTTTAAGGGTTTTGGCATTCACGGACGCCGAAGCCCGCTAGGGTTTACAGTATGGGGCTTAGGGTTTAGGGGCAGTTTAATGAAGAGACCATGCCCTAGACCCTAGACCCTAGACCCTAGACCCTAAACCCTAAACCCTAAACCCTAAACCCTAAACCCTAAACCCTAAACCCTAAACCCTTAACCCTACTCAGGGACCAGGGGTACAAGGAGCTTAGTCAGACAAGTCCAGCCTCCCAAAATCCAAAACACTCCGACGACCTCATCCTAAGTCCCGAAGCCTGTGAGCCCTAAACACTAGACCTGAGTTTAGGGTTTAAGGTTTAGGGTGTCGGGTTTAGGGTTTAGGGTTTAGGGTTTCGGGTTTAGGGCTTAGGGTTTGGGGTTTGGGGTTCCGGGTTTCGGGTTTTCAGGGTTTAGGCTTCCTTACAACACGCGTCCAGGCAACAACTGCCAAACCGGGCACTTCGCCTTGGAAGACGGCACATGCTGCTCTCTTGCAGTTTCCCAACATGTGCTTTACAAGGGAATTTAGGGTTTCGGGTTTAGGGTTTGAGGGTTTAGGGTTTGGGTTTAGGGTTGTTCAGGTGTAGGGACTAAACCCTAAACCCGAACTCTAACCTCAACCCCTACATGGGGGTTTCCGGAATTATATAGGGGTACCTTATTGCTAGCCTTCTTACAAGGGACTCCTACTGTTTGAGAATCTAAATCGGTCCCCTATGTTGGGTTCTGAGCTTCTGGTTTGGGCGTACCTTTGAGGACTGTCTCTCTGCCCAAAGCCCTATACACGTTGCACTCTCAACCTGAAGTCACTCCGAGCCCCCCGTGGGTGAAAGTTTAGGGTCTAGGGTTGAGGTTCAGGGTTTCATGGTTTCGGGTTGAGGGTTGAGGGTTTAGGTAGGAGAGTGAGAGAGAGAGAGAGAGAGAGAGAGAGAGAGAGACAGAGAGAGAGAGAGAGAGAGAGAGAGAGCGAGAGAGAGAGAGAGAGAGCAAGCAACCCTACATCCCAAAAGCCCCCAGAACCCATGATTCTCGAGGCACGCCTTGCCAGACAGCAGACGCGCTGCCAGCGACTATTTTGGCAGTTGTGGCAGTGCCCCCCGGCTGGGACCCCCCGCCCTTCTTGCTCATTAAGCCCTCTAAACAATCCTAGATCACCCTAAGCCCGATACCCTGTAAACCCTCAACCTTAAATCCCCGTAAGCCCTCAACCCTAAGCCCTCAACCCCAAACCCTCAATCCTTGTCAGCCCTGTGATAGGGTTTGAGTTTAGGGCTTAGGGCTTAGGGCTTAGGGCTTAGGGCTTAGGGCTTAGGGCTTAGGGCTTAGGGCTTAGGGCTTAGGGCTTAGGGCTTAGGGCTTAGGGCTTAGGGTTTAGGGTTTAGGGTTTAGGGTTGGAGAGCCTTGAACCCTGTTTATGTTTTGGGGTTTAGGGCTTGTGTGTGTTGGTTAGGGCTTCAGGGTTTTCGGGTTTGAGGTTTATAATGAGCATTTGGGTGCCCCGCAAATACTAAACCCTCCATCCTAAAGCACAAGCCCTTCTCCAGCCCGAGACAACCGATTCAGGGCTCGGACATCCTCATCAAACCCTAAACCCGAAACCCCAAGTCGAAAACCCAAGTCGAAGGGGGGCCGACCCCTTAAATTTTGAGTCCTAAAACAGTCGACAATCCCTATGATTAAACCCTTTAAACCCCACAAACCCTATAAACCCTGCGAAGCCCGAGAAACCCCTTAATTAACCCCCCCAGAATTAAACCCAACCCACCTTCCGTAGGCACCCTAAACCCTAAACCCTAAACCCCAAACCCCAAACCCTAAACCCTAAACCCTAAACCCAACCCACCTTCCGCAGGCTGATTCTCATCGTGCTCCTCTCATCGATCAACGCAGATCTGAATCAGCAACTCGGTCGGCCCTTGCGGGACATGTTCTAATTTTCCCTTGTTGGGTTTTAAGAGGATCGTTAACCCTAAACCCTAAACCCTAAACCCTAAATGAGGGCCATCCTAGAGGCAAAGCTTGAGCATCCTCACCGTGGCGGCCATCGGAAGCCAGATGGTGCCCCGGAAGCAATGCTGTTTACGTCCGGTTTGCTTTGGGGTTTAGGGTTTAGGGTTTAGGGTTTAGGGTTTAGGGTTTAGGGTTTAGGGTTTAGGGTTTAGGGTTTAGGGTTTAGGGTTTAGGGTTTAGGGTTTAGGCATTTAGGGTTTGGGGTTTAGGATTTTGGGTTTAGGATGCGGAGGAGCCTACACCCTAAACCCTATAAAGCCAAAACAGCGTCCGGTTTTGGTGTGGGGGGGTTAGGGCTTAATTTAGGGATTCGGAGCACCCTACACCCTAAATCCTAAAGCCAAAACCGGAAAGAGCCGAAACCGTGTAAAGCCTGCGCTTTCGCGTAGGATCGCGCTTGGGAGCCAGGGCGGCGGAGAATTTAGGGTTTAGGGTTTATAGGGTTTAGGGTTTAGGGTTTAGGGTTTAGGGTTTAGGGTTTAGGGGTACGGCCACTGTGGTAGAAAGGGGATACTGCGGGGACCTGGACTGACTCTGAGTAGTTGGGGGTTTAGGGCCTAGGCGTCCTGAACTTAAAAGCTCCTTTCCCTTAACGACAGATCAGGGTTGAGGGGCTTACGGCTTAGGAGTTTGAAGCCAAATTGACTTAGCCCTTAAACCCTTTACACCCTGCACCCTGCAAACCCTGACAGCCCCCAAGCCTCAAAATGTCAAACCTAGCATCTTCGGTTCCGCACCAGGGTGCGGGGTTACTGGCTTTAGGGTTCTGGTTTAGGACGAGCCGCATTAGGGTTTAAGGGTTCAGGGCTTCCCCTACACCACATCCAATTTGTACTTGTTTTGTCTTGAGGGTTGAGGGTTTAGGGTTTAGAGTACAGGGTCCCTAGACCCTAAACCCTAAATCCTGAACCACTGTAAAACTCACTACGTGCATGAACAGGATCCGTCAGGAGAGGGCGAGGTTCGACGCCAGCAGTGGGGGAAAGAAGCCGAAGTTGGAGTACTTGAACATCAAGGAGCCGATACTGCACACCGTGGGCTATCGAGTGTCACATCAGCTGCTGTTGCCACCTGCCCTCAAGGTCTGCGCGATGGCATCGAACCTCGTGCACGGTGCCGCTGTGGTGAACCTAAAAACAAGGGAGATAAAGAAGGATTCGAAGACGGGCGCCGTTCCCGTGAAAGCTGACCTGAACATCCTGTACACAGGGTCGCAGGACGAGTACTGGTTGAATCTCTCGGAGGACAGAAAGTTCAAGCAGGAGAAGATGGACTCCCACGGGATGGTGATAACCGGGATATCCTTGGCAGTCACATGGGCCTTCTTGACTTCATCTCTTGATTGCTGCTACCTTGGAGAGGACATGAACCCTGAAAGGGTTCATGATTCATACGGGTTCTAGTAAAAGGGCGTATGATTCATCCGGGCTCCCCTAAACCCTATTCAGGGTTCATGATTCATATGCGTTAGAGTAACAGGGTTTACGGTTCATACATGCTCCCCGAAACCCTTTCTCAATTAGGGTCCAACACCCTAGAAGGGTTTGATTCACGTCAGGGGCGGGGCGGTCGTTCTCTAAATCAGGGTCCCCATTGGGGTGCTTCTGAACAGTAGGCATGAAGCATTCGACAGGGACACCAAAACTTTTCTTTTGTTGAGGTTTTGGTATTTTTGAGAAGTACCGAAAATCCCGCACAGGGACAGCGGTGCCATTGCCGGTTTAGGGTTTAAGGTTTTGTGTCTAGGGTTCAATTTGCAACGCTATCTGGACTATCTCGGCACTTGGGAGGCCTCCCCAGTAGCGCCTTAAACCTGAAGCACAACCCCCCCCCCCCTCCCCCCGAAACCCGAAATCCTAAAGCCCTAAGCCCTAAGCCCTAAACCCTAAACCCTAAACCCTAAACCCTAAACCCTAAACCCTAAACCCCAAGGTCATGGCGGTCCAGGCACTAGGGTCGATTCGGCAGCTCTCGGTGAACTGGGTACCGCCGGTGCATGACCTGATACAGCTCACGCAGCGCCCTGGTTTGGGTTTTGGGTTCAGGGTTTAGGGTTTAGGGTTTCGGGTTTCGGGTTTTTTCTGGATTCGGGTTTCGGGTTTGGGGTTTGGGCTTTGGGGTTTGGGGTTTAGGGTTTGGGGTTTAGGGTTTGGGGTTTGGGGTTTAGGGTTTGGGGCTGAGGGTTTGGGGTTTTGGGCTTGAGGGGTTGGATGCTGGAGAATTGAAGGGGTCCCTTTTCTTTCGCGTGGGGGGCGGTGGTGTCTGATAGTGTAGGGGTTTGGGGTTCTGGGGGTTCAAGGGTTGAAAAGTTTAGCGTTTAGGGGTTTAGGGTTTAGGGTTTAGGGTTTAGGGTTTAGGGTGTTGCAGTTTTTGCTTGACTTTGTTTGAGAGATGTCGTTTTGCTCTGAGTTCTCAACCCGACCCATGAGCTCCAAACCTCCAAACCCTAAATCTACCCCGAACGAAATTTGCTCCACATGCGGCCGTCTTGTAGGGTTTAGGGTTTAGGGTTTAGGGTTTAGGGTTTAGGGTTTAGGGTTTAGGGTTTAGGGTTGAGGGTTCAGGGCTGAGGGTTTGTTCAAAAAAAGAGCCTCCCCCCGCCCCGCCCCCCTCCGCACAAGGGGCCCAAATTCAGAGCAACCTCTGACACTTCCCCAAACCCCACACCCAAACTCTGTCTGCGGATGAGATTTCAAAATTTTTCGACTAGGGCAGAGGGTTCCTTTAGCCTAAACCCGAAAAACCCTCAACCTAGAGTTCCTTTAGACGCTGAGAAGCCCCAAAAGCAGCCTAAACTTCGGTTCAAGGCGGGAACTCAGCCACTGCGTTTTTGGGGTTTTACTGCAGTGACTTCCCGCGAAAAACAATCTAAAAGCCTTCAAGTCCCATATCTCGTGCTGAGACGCGATATTTGTGCTATATTTAAGAGATAAGTACCAAACTACATTTTGCGAGGGTATACGAAGCGTACGTTCCTTTTGCAAACCTTCCACGCTGAATCATCGGTGCTTCTGCCTAAGCAATGACGAAAAGTCAGGCCATTGGCCTAGCTAACTCGGGCCATGTTCTTGAAGTCAACTATTGTGATATTTCCACGACCGAAGCATTTCGGCGACTGCGTCTTCAACAAGTTTCGCGTCTGCTGCTCGTTCAAAGAGCTGTCCCGAGAGTGCGTTCTGTGAAGAGACTTCCCATCTTGGGTTGTGTAGTGTTATCCAGACCAGGTGTTAACAGGGTCTCAAGGTGCGATGGCTAAACAAGGTGAGGGAGTTAGTACTAAATTACCTGTCCAGCCGTGGAGACCTTAGCTGCCCAAGAGTCCGTCCATGAAGAGCACACGTTAATAACATTGTTTTACGGGTGAGTGAAACGCACGGCGTACAATATATAATATCATAACGTAGTGCATTCATGAGGTTGTTTCGTTCATGTGTTCACACCCCTAATAATCATAGTACTTTGCAAAAACCAATTCCCCAAAACCAAAAAAACCAATACCAAAAAAATCAAAAATACCAAAACAACCAATTTTCCGGGACTTTTGATTCGTAAGCTTTATTTCCACAGCTTTCACAGAGTCCCGGAAAATTGGTTTTTTTGATTCTTTTGGTTTTCTTGGTATTGGTTTTTTTGGTTTTGTGGAAATTGGTTTTCTGGGCTTTCTGTGTTGATTTGGTTGGTTGTCGGTGTTCCTGTTCTCCCAAAAGTCTTGCAAAATTCATATTTTTGGGGTTTTGCCTATCGTTTCACATGGTTTCTGCGGTTTTGGCAATTCTGGCCTGATTGCTAAACCTCAAAAACGCAGCGGCTGAGAAACCGCTTTGAACCTAAACTTCATACCCTACACCTCATAAACCCCCAACCCCGGACCCTAGACCGCAAACCCTAACCCTAAACCCTAGCTTCCTTCAAAGACGCTGAGAAGCATCAAAAGCCACCACCAGCCTAAGCCCTATACCCTAAACCCTATAAACCATGTATAGACCCTAGACCCTCGACCCTAAACCCTAAACCCCAGGTTGTTGACCTTCGACTTCGACATCATCCGCATCTCCTGCGTCTACGGAGCCCGGATTTGAACGTTTCGGGCTTGGGGGATAGGGTTTCGGGTTTCGGGTTTAGGGTTTAGGGGTGTGAAGCTTAGGCGCCTGAAGTTTAGGGTGTTGGGTTTTTGGGGTTTGGGGCGTGAGTTTAGGGTTTAGGGTTTAGGGTAATTATGAGATTTCAGGTTCGTGGGGTTTAGGATGTATAGCGTCTGAGGCGTAGGGTTCTAGGGCTTGTTCGTAAGGCTCAGGTTTAAAGGGCTCAGAACACGCGTAGGGTATTTATGGCTCGGAATTTTCAGGGTACTAGGGGGCGTGAGGGTTTGGGAGTTTGGGCTCAGGAGTCTAGGCTCAAGATCCCAGACATCGTCTGTTTGCCCCAATAGGCAGCGTATGAGCCCTCGTAAACACCCTAAACCCTAATCCCTAAACCCTAACCCTTAACCCTAAACCCCTAAACCCCTAAACCCCTAAACCCCTAAACCCTAAACCCTAAACCCTAAACCCTAAACCCCTAAACCCCTAAACCCCTAAACCCTAAACCCTAAACCCTAAACCCCTAAAAACCCTAAACCCTAAACCCTAACCCTAAACCCTAAACCCTAAACCCCTAAACCCTAAACCCTAAACCCTAAACCCCTAAACCCTAAACCCTAAACCCCTAAACCCTAAACTAAACCCTAAACTAAACCCTAAACCCCTAAACCCCTAAACCCTAAACCCCTAAACCCCTAAACCCCTAAACCCTAAACCCTAAACCCTAAACCCTAAACCCTAAACCCCCCTAAACCTAAACCCTAAACCCTAAACCTAAACCCTAAACCCCTAAACCCTAAAACCCCTAAACCCTAAACCCTAAACCCTAAACCCTAAACCCTAAACCCTAAGCCCTAAACCCTAAACCCCCTTCCCTCGCAGGAGTGGACAGCCCGGTGTTAAAGTTCGTGAGCCAGCTCTTGGCCTGCCCCGCCTGCTTCGGCTCCTACGGCTCCAGATTAGGGTTTAGGGTTTGGGGTTTAGGGTTTAGGGTTTGCGGTTTGGGGTTTGGGGTTTGGGGTTTGGGGTTTTGGGGTTTTGGGGTTTAGGGTTATAGGATTTAGTGTTTTGGTGTTTGCGGTTTAGGGTTTAGGGTTTCGGGTTATAGGGTTTAGGGTTTTAGTGTTTAGGGTTTATTAGGGTTGGAGGGTTAGGGGTTTAGGTTTCGGGGTTTAGAATTGAGGTTTGTGGGCTTTGGGATTTAAGGTTCGGGGGTTGCGGTTTGCAGTGTTTAGGGTTGCGTTTTAGGCTTCAGGGTTTGGGTTTAGGGCCTCGGGGTTCGGGGCTCAGGGTTTAGGGTTTATAGGGTTTAGGGTTGTTGGGCCTATTTGCGGAATGTCGACTTCAGGTGTTGCTGTTTAGGTGTTTCTTGCGCTGTTTTGGCGAGTTGGGGGCTTAAACGATGTGTAGACGTCGCGGGATGAGGGATTCTTGTGGATTCCGAGAAGAGCCCCAAACCCCAAGAACCCTCAAATCTCTAAAACTCCCAACCAAGAAAAGCGTATAACTCCAAACAACCCTAAACCCCAAGCCCTACACCCTAAACCCTGAGTGGACGCTTCGAGACCGTCCGAGTGACTGTTTGCATACACCCTAAATCCTCACCCTAAATCCTAGACCCCAAATTCTAAACCCTAAACCCTAAGCCCTAATCCCTAAACCCGAAACCCTAAACCCGAAGCCCTAGACCCTAATCCCTAAACCTTAATCCCCAAACCTAAACCCTAAACCCTAAAACCTACACCCTAAACCCTATAAGGCATCATCATCGCCGCCTGGGGTTTCGCCAAACTGAGGCCCCCTGGATATGTTTTCATGATTTCGGAGTGGGTTTAGGCTTGGGGTTTAGAAGTTCAGGGTTGAGGGTTGAGGGTTTAGGTTTTAGGGTTTCGACTGTAGGGTTTAGGATTTTAGGATTTCGGGCTCCGGGGTTGCGAATTTATTGGGGTTAGCGGGGCTCGGAGGATTGGGTGTAGGGACTGGCTGGTCTAAGGGCCTTAGGGCTTGGGATTTAGGGTTTCTGGGATTAGTCCTTGTGGTCTTGAGTAGCTCCATCTTCTTTCCTGTGTACAGTTCTGTTTGTTTGTTTACATGTATGCATGATTTTGGGGTTCCGTGTCGGGGGTTTCAGGGTTTAGGGCTACCCTGACACCCGAAAACCCTCAACCCCAAGTTTCAGTGCCAAAAGAACACGTGCAGGGCACGTGAAAAACGCGGTTGCTGCGTGCCCTAAACCCTAAACCCTAAACCCTAAACCCTAAACCCTAAACCCTAAACCCTAAACCCTAAACCCTAAACCCTAAACCGCACAGGTTCTGGTTGGG